TGCATACTAATCGATTGTAAATGATTCATGAATTGATAGTACATAATAAAAAAATAAGACAATAATATGAAAACCCACACTCTTAATTCCTTACAACTACAAAAGCCAAGAGAATCATTTCTGTTTAAATTAAAACTTGCAAATACTTGCACTTTCAAGTCATACAGCTATTAACTGAATTTTTAGAGTGTTTCGGTTTTATAAGTTGCGCTATATTATATCATCGTGAGTGCAGTGAATATAGTGCACGTGAATTATTATTAGCACAGCCGATGGGCATGCGGAATTTTCAGCACTCGATTTGTAATAACGTAATTAACAGTTCCGAAGCAACACTTCATGATCATGAAACACAAGAGCACGTCAAGTCCAGTTCAATTTTAATTAGAAAATAATGAACGGTAAGGCGAAAATTACATAATTAAGAGCTTCTGATGTTATATCATAGTTTATATCATACTTTACTGAAAATGTGCAGTAGCTACTCGAGTTTCTGAGGTTTCGCGTTCCCTTACGGATGGGTTTTTAAGATTGACTAAAAGTAAAGGATAAAAGAAAAAGAGGGGAGATTTTTTTTTCCACGTTAATCTCATAAAAGCCGTCAACAAAAACTACAGCGAGCGAGGAAAGACCCAAAGGATAATTTTTGTTGCCAGCAAGAGGGAATTCCATCTGAGTCGTATACGCTACAACAACAAGGCTGGGCATCACCTCATACTAAGCAGGCTATAGTAATAAATATAATTATGTAGTTTCTTCACGTCGTGGGGATTCCAAAATATTTTAAAACAGCTGAATCTCTCACGAACAAAACACAGTCGTGCACTGAACCAGGATGAAATAATGAATAGGCGATTATCTTTATTTTGAAAATAACATGAATGTAAATAGACCTATTATAACCATGTTTTGTTTTACAAGATACTGTTGGCTGCATATTGATCCATAAATTTAACAAATTAGATTCTTCAACATATTAAAAAATTAATTAACGCTACATTGAATAAGATCTTCGTAATAAATGTTTCATCACCTTAGATAGATTATTATCACTATCCTCTTAGGTAAATAGGAAGAAACTGGAAGAACTCGAATGGCATTATGTTACAAATTTCTCCATGACACCTACATAGGAAATACTTTCCTCCAATTATAATAATAATAAAAAAAAAAACACTTAGATTGTTACTATAAACAAATGTACTTAAGATTCAACTTTGTGTTAAAGCAAATAGCTATTTAACGTAAAAATTCAAGTAATTCTGTATTTAGACGCTTTCTCTGACTTCCCTTGCTAAACTTCTTTTTATTTGTCTTCAAGGTTCACCTTATTTTAAAGTGTTGTTTCTTAAGTGGCTGTCATCGAATGTGTTTTAACATCATTTACGTGTTACGTTCGTCCTAAATAAGATTACACAATTTTCACAAGCCTTCAGTATGTCCAACGATTATTCCTATCGTTTCTAAAAATTTGCAATAGTTGGTATTACCGTTGTTCAGAACCAACTACACTGAGAAAGGGCACTGCTTGAAACTAAAATCGCTATTGTACTTTTTTTTGACATTTCACGACTTGCAGAAAAGCGTCAGGCCGAAGTTGTGTTTAATATATTGCGCTTCGAATTGTTTTTTCGGTGTAAATAGGACGATATCAACAATAGGTGCGTACTTTCTCCTTTTAATCTTTTAATACAAACTTCACTTTGGCAATCTACGGAACAAATTATGTACAATATGCAAGAAGTGTATTCATCCCGTCCACAAACCTGATGGCGTTATCTGAAAATTTTTCAAAAAAGTACTGTTTTATGAATTAAATCAAAAATGGTTTATCTCATTTTCCTGAAATTCTGGGAAAGCCCTGTATGTAGGAGATGTTACTTAAATATTTACCAATTGAATGATATTTAAAATTAATATTTCAGCAAGGTTATTTTCACAAATGTTTAATTTCAGGATATTTTAAAATTTCACAGCCCCTACTGCAACTACTCTAAATAAGAATTTTGATTTTCATGTACTTTAAAATAATTATGAGATGCTAAAAAGACTAATAGTGTTATTTGAAAATTTTGACAAACCTCACTTGAAATGTAACCGCATGAATGCTTCTTTTCAGTGGTTTGATAAATAACTACACGCATCCGGAAATACATATTACAATTTATATTAGAAACTACATAACGGATCTCGTTGGAATTTTTGGGTAATACTAATATTGATATAAAAGTTACAGGACCTCAACTAAAGTTAATTTGTTCGCCCTTTGCAAAAAGCCGATGACGGCGTTTCAAAAATTATTAATTAGCAATGAAAAATGTTTTGTTACCATTGTTTCAAGTATTGTGAATGAAATACATAAGATGAACACATCGCAAGATGATTTGGGATTTAAGGAACTTTTTAATAAAACAAAGAAATGTTGGTAAACTTTTATGCAAATCGATTAATGCCAAAATTTTTAGGACACTGAATGTGAGAGAACTCAATTCAATTCGTGTACCACAAAAATAAATCACAATCTCTCGATAATTGTTTCTTGTGGCCAACTAGTGTGGCAGCCGCTCGATGTGCCAATATGGATGCTTTCATTAAATGATTCGATATATCACTTTCATGCTTTATTATTTACTTTTTGCCTTTTGGTGCTTCTAATGTGTTACTAAGCGGCAACAATAAAAAACGAATAATTCAAATTAATATCAATTAATCGTGTAAGTTCAATGTTTGAAAAGTTCCGTTTCCAATGGAAAAAAAATCATGGTACTTCAACGAAGAAGGTGGGAATGTGATCTCGAAACTGACCACTAATTGCACTGATTTCACAAAAACAATGTGATCACACAATACGTTAAAAAATGTAGATATGATTGATCTAAATTTATAAAGTAGGATGTTCCATATCCATGAAATAAAGAAATATTATTCAAAAATCATTATCAACAAAAATCGATTTTATAATATAGCTACTAATTGCTGAAATAGTTTATACAAAACTTAAATAATTTTTGTTGTTAAAAGGAATTATAGTGACTCAGAAAATTTTAAGTAAGACTGAAAACTAGAGTACTGAAAAAGCAGAGAGAAAGTAAGTACGCCCATTGAAAAGAAAAAAATCTATAAAGTTGTTTATTCAATCATATTTTAAGATGACATCATCAATTCTTTAGCACTGATCAACATATTAATTGTGATTCTACGTAACAAGAATTATAATGTCAACCGTGTTCGCAGAATTTAGGAGAAATCAGATGAGGCCTTTTTTAGACGTTTGATAAAATAGACAACATATTATGCAGATCCATTCTAAAAAATAAAAGTTAACTGTTGAAGTACAAACAATCTCACGGCGTAATTTTCCGTAAACATATATTTATAAGTTTTTGAGGTGTCGTCATTAACTTTTTGGAATGAATTAATAAGTGAATTCTAATTAGTGATCTTAATTCTTAAACAAATATTGGTGTCTTATTCGAATTTTAGAAACGTTGATTATCTCATTTCTGCGACAAGTCGTAAAATTTGTTTATAAAAACTGTATTTTTTAAAACAATCCCTACATGCAAAGTTAAAAATAGGACTGGCTTACAAATAGCAAGCAAAACAGCAGGTTATGCGTATATTTGCGGTAACAAGTACTCACAAAGAAAATTCTGACAGAGTAGATAAGTCGTTTCCGAGTTAATCTAGAAAATAAGTAATTCACTGATTCCGCTAGGATCTACTATACATATAAACATTTTTAAAATATAACAACGTATTTCTGAAATACAAACAATTTGGTGCGTCACCGAAAAATCTGTTACTTAACATGCTGTATTGGAAATTTTATCGGGATTTATTTGACAGCACTTTCAGATCACGAGTTTTCTGAAAGGATAATAAATAATTAAATTGGCCTGAACTGATCTTATCTCCGAAAAAATGGATTGCTGCTCATTTGACTGTGTCAATGGAAAATACAAAAGATGAATAAATGTAAACAAAAACAAAATCCAATTTCTTTGCGCGATGTCGTTCAAGTAAAAAATATGTAATGTGTAAAGCGTTTATGCGAAAATGTCTTTTTTTTGTGTTTTTTATACACTTTTATATTTTTTTAATGAACAATTAGTTAGCGAAGCACAAAGGCTTTTCTAACTTTTACATCGAGTTTTTTCCGTGTTGTAATGTTGCCAAATAATACACGTTAAGCATATTTAGTTGTTCCTTAAATTTTCGACATTGAATTAGAACATTCCAGATGAATTTGAATTTTTTTTAGAAGGCATTCCTATTATTTTTGTAACATCCTATACATTTGAAGTAAAACGGTATAACTAAAGATATTTTAGAAACAATAATGAATCTTGTGTTATTATTGATAATATACTTAAGAAACAGGTAGGCAGCGCGTCAGTAAAATCGCATCTATACAATTAATAATACAAAAACAAAATCCTCTGGGTTGTCTGTTAGACACCTGACAAATAAAATTGGCCGGTATTTCTTCATAACAAACCTAAAAAAGGAGAGTCACACCTGTCCCATTAAGAAACCAAAAAAATAAACGTAACAATAAAAATTAATTTTAGCTGTTGCATTATAACTCTTGGAATCCTTGGCCAAATTTTTCTTTTTGTTTCAAGAAATGCCAATATGAGCCATAACAAAGCAAGTCCGGCAAACTACTCAATCATCACGTATGAGCCGCACTATACAAACAACATCTTCAAACATCCTCCTCAAGAGGATATCATCAATTCCGAATGACTAAACCACCTTATAAATTATGCATCCCCCTGAGCCTGAAATGAAAATCGAACCGCCTCAAGAATTTCCAATCGCGATTTAGATATTCCTGTCCACGAATCAAATAAACCACTCGACTCCCAAATCCGGGTGATAGGAAAATCCGATAATGGAGCGTCCTTGTCGGGTCACGTTAAACTAGATGACTGTGATGTCCCCACCCGAAAGCACCGGACTCGAGGTACGGAAATCTGGCGCTCCGCTGAAACAATGCATTTCAGTACAGCCAAGCCGGCCGAACCATACTACACGAACCGCTATGTAAACTCGTGTGTCGAGTGAATTGTGTCCAGTGCAACAGGGGTTACAACTTATTGGATACACGCTGCGTCACGCCAGGAAAACAAAAATGTAAGAAAATCCTTGATAAAATTGTGTTAATCGAAACAAACAATATTCGCGCTAGTACTAATGAAAAAGTCCTCACGAAATGACGACTTAAGGGGACTGAAAATGTTAACACTCCTTGAGGATAATTTTGCCTAACCTATTGTGCAAATGCAAATGTTAATAATGGAGGTGGCGCGATGGAATTTTGTGTGATTAGACAGGAAGAGCATCTCCACCATAAAGTGCATTGCTTAAATATCAACAATTTTATTGCAACATCCCACAATAACGAGTCGCTTAAACTTGGCAATTTAATTAGTTAAATAAGTGTTCAAAAGGTTAAAAAATTAATATTAATGATAATAAACGTGCTTGCATTCGTTCCGTTGACCAGCGTTTAAGATCTGACCGAGTGAAAGAGGTGGAGTCGCTACATTCCAAATTGGAAGGTCAAAGGACGAGGGTTTGAAACTGGTTTAAGACACCCTTTCTTCCCATTAAAAGATTTCGCGATATAATAGGTATTGCGACGTAAATGTCAAGCCATAAAAAATAAATTTGGACATTTTTGTTTGATTAAAATAAGGTCACAGAAAAGTTGTCCTTGTCGACTGATTCCATCACAATACACTAATCAGATAGTTCAACAACTTGACGCTTTTTCAGGTGAAACACGAAAACAAACCATTGTCCTTTAGCGTTACAACATTCTCGACAACTGTTCGCTGCTATTAAAAGAAATCGATTTCGAGCACGATTAAAAAGCGAACTTTACGCTTTGTTAATGATTAAACCTGAAAACCTGGCAGAAGAAAGCTTTATTTAACAGGTGTTTTTTCCAGTGAAGTTCAATGTTGATAATCGTCATTACGCAGATGTTCATTTTCTCCGCGACCGAAAACAATCAAATTTGCTCAAGCTACGTACTTTCTGTTTTATCAAATATAATTGGTGACACTGGAGAAAAAAACTTGCGGAACCTTCACCTGCTATTCCACGATCATTTATTTTGACGATTAATTAAGGAACTAATGCACATTTTAATGAAACTGACCTACATTGTTGAATTTAGGATCTGGGAAAATGTCGACGAAGAATAAAAGAGCCGATCTGACAAAAATTCCCAAGGATCTGTAATTAATGACAGTTTAATGCGGTAATTGCGAAAACTGGTCCTTGCACCTTGTACACCGCTAATAGATTTATAATATTCGCATTTTGAACATCTCGTTAATTAAAGTGGCAAATATTTTTCGTTCATCGATTTGGCGCCTGTGTAAATCGCAATCCAAATTACACTTTCAACATTGTCCCTTACTCCACTATTGTATGGTAATCGTGGTGTTTCGACAGTAATGCTCTAACATTTACCACAAAACCAATAATTAAACGCCGCCTTCCAAAATGCAAATCTCGCCGTTTCTTGCACCAGTTCACGCATTTCTTCATTAACAAAGAAATCATAGAATGAACTGTCCTTAGCCTTTACACCCACCTACATCTAGTAAAAACACAATTGCGCTCGTCTATTACACATCTCCCGAATTGGAAGAGATTGCATGCTAGCATAACGTGATTAATTGCTTTAAGCCGTGAAAAGCAATTACTTAATCTATTTTTTCTTTCATCGCACGCTCTTTTTCTTTCGTTCGGATTTAATTACCGCCGTAGCGCCTAACCGTCAGGTTTGAAACTTTGGCACGTTAAAACCACGCCTGTGTCCGTGTCACTGCTTATTATTATAATAACACATTCCAAAGCTTCACCTTCATTTTAATTCAAAATAATATCGCAATAAAACATTTAGGCAAGTGCGTATTTTTAAATTTATGCAATAACGCGATTATGTCTCTATTGTTGTGAAGTCGGGCGTATTGTTAGAACCGAGGACACATATGTACCACAATAACACTTGTCAAGTCTTGTGAATTGGTTCTTGAAGACCAAGATCTAGCGTGACATTGTCCTGACTGTACCGGAAAACCACTAAATTTCAGCAGGCCTAGACATAAATGCAGCCTCAACACAGCCTGCAATCCGGTTTGAGCGAAACAATGCACACAGGGTGACATAATAAGTACAAATTACGAAAATATGGATTATAAAAGAGTGAATAAACACATAAGTGTAGCATTGTAGTAGTAAATAAACAACTACTTGTGACTATACCGTTTTATGTAAATTCTGACGCTTTAAGGTGCCGGAAATTAATTCAGCCGGTTTCTAGACATTTTAAGATGTGGTATTTACAGTCGTCGCATCCTTGTCCTTCGCTTTTTTTTTGGATTGTATGACATAACTGTGAATCTTCTGCTCGAAAATCTTCCTTGCAACGTAAAAAAAGCAAAAGTTTCACAAATTTAAATTCCTTTTCGGTTTGATTCCTCGTTACGCTTTACCGTCAGTAATTAATTAATAAGTGTAGCTATTATTATATTTTACTTCCTAGTCGTTACATCATTGATAACCCCTTTGCTTTATCACATAAAAAAGAAAAACATAATTCAATACGTTTACTAGGGCGTAACGTTTATTCGATTTAAATGAATATATAGAGTTACTTTTATGTTGCAATCCAATTACTGGTAAAAATCAATCATGTTACGAACAAAAACAAGTGTAAATAGATCCTTGCATCATGCACGTTTACGTCAAAATTTCACTTTCTTGAATTTTAACAAATACTCGAAACCAGAAAACTAGAACAGACATTGTTATTAAGAGCAACGGCGACATACGTGTGTAGAAAAATGTCGCCAAGCGTAACCGTTACAACACGCAGATTTAAATATTCGCATTACGGTATTGTTAAAACAGCTCAATTTGTAACAATTAGTTAACGTTTTGACAGTTTGTTTACTTTCCTTAACCACTCTAATTTGGAAACGAAATCGCGCTTTCTTTCATCCGTTCAGTATCAACGAAACTAGAAAAAACCAGTCCTTTCTCCTACATTTTCCGCGTTAATTTTCCGACTCCACCTACCGGCGTCTCGATGACAAGGCCAAAGCATAAAACCACAATAACTATCTCGGATGAAGGTTGATTAAAAGAAAACGGGTGCGAATTCTGATGTTTCCCGTTCACTATCGCCGCAAGTCTTGTAGGAGTAAAGATTTGGTTTTACTTTCATTGAACGAGCGGTCGACGGTGTATATTCTGCGGTCGCAAATTAACTTACGATAATTTCAAATGAAGATTCACTTCACGCTCAAGAAAAATACGTAACCTGTACGTTACGAAAAGTCAACAATGGTGACTACATCGCGACAACTGTAACTTAATTAACTTATTGTTCTCATTTTTATTGCAGATGTCCTGGTGGCTTCTATTGTGCACGCTAGCAGTTTGGGTCCTCGCCTCTTCAGCAATCGAAGATCGAAAAATCCACAGACTAGTCGGCGGCCACCTTCGAATCTTTCACGATTCGCTAGATTCCGAACTGTTAGAAGCCTTAGCCAGTGGTTCGAAAAACAAGAAGTCACAAAAAGGCGACGATGAGGAAAAGAAGACTCTATCGCAACAAGTATCCGACGGGAAGTACGGTCTGATCCAGAGGGAACTGTTCGCGAAACCGTCGAAACGTCCCGGTGTACTCAGCTACGAGAACAACCCAGAAGTGCCTAAAGATAACATCAGCAACTTGGGTGGATTAACGAAGAACGATATATGGTTAGCAGAGAACCATCTCTTGGTGCTGAAGGGTGGTACTTATCCGCCTCCGGATGATAAAACTGACAGCTCGCCGACAGCATGGCCTGCAATCGACGACTACAAAGCGCCCTTACGTCAAGTCAAAATCCCGGCACATCCAAAAGTGCCGCCGCCATTTCCAGTCCAACTCACAGACGACGGCCCCTTGCAAATCCTGGGCACAAATTCTTCGCGAACGATTAATGGCACGCTCGAACAAGCAAGCTTCGCCTTACCACCCCCTGAAGGCTTCGACGCGACTCCGTACTTCTCGCCTAACTATCCGTATCCGCCCAACTCTACTTCCGGGCAACCTCCGTACCCAATACCTGCTTTCCCTTCGGGGGAGTACCTTCCGGGGGCGCCGTTCCCCCCTTTCAATTTGAACGGTACTTTACCTCCTTTCTTCGCTTCTTTACCCCCAGGCGCCGCAATCCTACCACCCCCAAACCTAACCGAACCGTTCGACGAAGACGACCCTTCGATCTATTATCCTCCGCCATACAGTTTTTACTACCCAAAGGATAACTCATCTCTTGTACCGCCCGGACCTTTGGTACCGGGAATCGTACTACCGCCACCTCCAAATTTCTTCGGGCCTTTGGAACAAACAACGAAGAGACCAATCACGACAACGAGAAAACCACATCGACAGAGGATTAAAACAACGACCACTCCTTTGCCTCAGATTCACCCGACGACTACCGAAATACCTCCAACTTCGGTACTGAACGACAAAACGACGAAAAAACCTGTGAGGATCTTCCCAGTGCACATTCCGGCGGAGATCAATAACGAGCTCAAACCTATAGTGACGACGACACCCCCGAAGGTCGTAACGGTGTTGTCGGTGCGACCTCAGACAAAGAGCAGGACTACGTCACCTAGAACGCAAAAGACACGACCCCCAACGGTCACCGTTCTCAAACCGGTGAAATCTTCGAGTGAAGCGCCTAAAGTGTACGTGTACGAGAATGAAGTTCCGGGTGTGTACAAGACTCAGACGCGTCCAAAAACAGTAGTGAGTACAACTCAAGTGCCGCTCAAAGTGTACTATACTACGTCAAACGATATAGAAACGAATTCTATAACTCATGCCCCAGAAAAATACCGCATTAGTGTTTCGAATCCGCGAAGGACTAAACCGACCACGAAGTCACCTTCACAGTATTACTACTACGAAGAACAACCGATCAAGGAAGTTACCACAAGGAAGCCGTTCTATGACATACCGAAAGAGTACTACCTTCCAGCTAAACAATCGAATCCTTCACCGACCGTGCAACAACAGAAGTTTATTTATGTACCGAGCCGTCCTTACAACACACAAAGACCTCGTTATCGTTTCGTACAAACACCAAAAACTGATACTTTCAGTATTCACATAGCGAGACTGCAGAAACAAATTCATCAGTACTACACGACCACAAGACCGACCTACAGACCAACGTATTCACCGAAACCTGTCTATCAGTTTAGTTTTGAGGCTGCGAACTACAGACCGCAAAGACCGCAAGTTGAAGATCCACAAGATAGATTCAGACCACTACCAAAATACAGCGTCCAAATTCAACCTGCAATCGAAATCATACCTACCGAAGCTCCGGTTTATCAGAACACGCCACCACCAAACTACTATAGAGTAACAACAGAACGACCTGTCGCCTCTAAGTATTATCAAACTGAACGTCCCGATTACGAATATGAGGACAATATCGAAGAGAAGAACAAGAACACGGCCACCCCACGACCTGTCAACCAATATGCATACGAAGTCACCCCTAATCCCGTTTATCAAGGCTTTTATACGAAACCTGACGAAGGTTTCTTTGACGAAAACACCAGACATTACTTCACAACATTTGGACAAAAACTACAAAGCGCAACCACTCCGATGCCACAAACCGCCCAATCATCAACCCCACAAAGACAGAGGCGACCTGATCAATATCAGCAGAAACCTATCAACTTAGAAGGAGACATAGCCGTCAATTATTTACCCCCTCGTCCAACCATCAACCCTGACGCTGAATTCGTGCCAATCAATCCCAATCAGCAACGGGTAAATTACCCACAGGTAGTAAAGTACACACCTAGACCTGCTCAGTACGCTCAAGAAAGTCGTCAAAAGAATCGAGGGCCCGAAATTGTGAAAGCCGTGCCTGTAACGGCCGAAGGTCAACCGGGTTCGTTCATTTCTTATCAACTACCGGGGGATGATGGGGCGCATTTTTATTTTCTAACGCCTCAGTTGGCTCAAAGTCGTGATCAAGGAGCTGGTTTTTATTATTCGCAACCGAACGTAGCGAGGATACGAAGGAATAAAGAAAGGTGAACCGTTGTGATAAAGAAGTGACTCTTAGGACTGTGAGTCATTGGCGATTCCTATCTTTAATTTAGTGCCTATTTTAATTGGTCTGTGATCGTGTACCGCCAACGTACTCAAAATCTGAAAATTAATTTAGAACTGTTTTTACTGTAGAATAGGATGCAAATGTTCTTAACTCACTGAATTGTTATTCTCGCCAGAAAAGAGTGGTGCGAAATCAAGAACGCGATCTTTTGTATGAGTTAATATTTAATTTATTTATAAAGATTTGTAGTATATCAAAGTGATAAATTATTGTATTGTTAGACCATACGAACATTAGGCAACTTTGTTAAATTATTTTTTTAAATAATAAACTGCTACAAAAAAGCGACTCTAGATCTCTACACCCATAAATCTTATTACAACTTGCGATTGTAACCCAAAGGTTATTCAAACTAATTTGGTCGTTCCCACCCATTGTTCCATTAATCAGCTATTTGTTAGTACCATATAATTAAATCTCCGTCAGATAAATTCATCAGATAACTAAAGACTTTAATAATTACCCGAATTCGGTTGACATTAATGAACATTCCAAAAAGACTCACCGGTATTAAGTTCCTGTTCAGCACTTTCGTCCTTCAATGGCTCGTCGAAAAGATGCAGATACACTTCAATGGCACATTTGGCTGCTTTGAAATAAAAAGGATGCCCTCTAAGAACATCTTCCAACCGCAAGAGCCCTACGTAGGACCGCAGCGTCATTTTCCTCATGCAGTAGGTGTGGAAATCGAACTGATCCTCGATGATTTCCGAAAAATGCTACAAAGGCAAATTTACGATCTCAACTAAACCAGACACGTTATTTACCCTATCGGTCTCGTGACACTTTTTGAGAGCTTCTCCGTACTTGCCGAGTCGTTGATAGGCTAAAGCACATTCCGTTTCGAACCACATACATTGCATTTCGTTAAGATTTTCCATGGCCGAAACGCCTTCTCTGGTAAACTTGGCACATGTATCTTCCGCTTCTTTGACTCGATTTGCCCTGAGCATGTATTTGGCGCATTTCGAATTGATGTAACGGTCGGCGGTGTCGAGGGCTTGCGCCTCGTCCAACCATTTGTACGCCTCTTGGGGGTCGCCGGCATGCTGTAATTTTGTAAGATAATGGTTGTATTAAAATTACATTAAAAAGACAATTGATGTCGTAAAATATGAGAGAAAATAAGACAGTTATGTGAATTTGATAATTCCCATATTAATCATTATAAGTGCATTGTGGGTGAGTCACAAAGAACGGGTTTATCCTTAAGAACAATAATGCACCGAGATTAAGTATGTACAGTATCTATCTACCAACCGAATTGTTAGGTGATTGCGTAATGCATATGTCATATTTTTTCATAAAATTGAAATTGTTTTACACAATGTTGAAGAGTTAAATGTAGAGATTCACTACTGATATACATTCGACTGCAATTTTATCCGAGAAATATACAGTATGTTCCCGGATTGAGTTCACAAGAGGAAAAAAACTGTATTTTCTATTTTACAACAAAATGACATAGGAATAACATTTTTTGCGTAATTCAAAACGAATAAATCTGCAATTAAAACTTCAATATTCCTGGTCCATACTCTTAAAATTAATTTTTTCATATTTCTAAGTTCTTCGTTACTTTTATTTTTTTCGATTTTAAGGACACAGCCTGATAATATTAAAATTTTAATTGCAGATTTATTCCTTTTGAATTAAGCAAAAAATTTATTTCTATGTCATTTTTTTGTAAAATAGAAAACACAGTTTTTTTTTTCCTCTTGTGAACTCAATCCGGCGACATACTGCAGAAAATAATTTAAAAGTGGAAAACTTCATAAAATTTTACAAACTTGACGTGCTAAAGTAAAACTCATGCACTTACGTATGCAACCAATATTACACAGTTTGAAAAAACCAGATCACACTTAACTATGTCACAAATATATTCAATTTCTGGTATTCTGGATATAGAAGACAAACTATTTAAAACAAATGTTTTCAAATATTAACTAATAATGTTCCAAGTTTTCCTTTTTGCCTCAGTTTATGTCTAACAATGTTAACTTATATTGTATTTTCTGGATTCATTCTGAGGTGAAACCAAATTATTCCCCACAGGTTTTACAATAAAGTGTATAACTTTTGAAAATGAAGAAAACTGGCAAATAATTTAAAATTAAAAAGAAAAACATTCAATATTACACAATATAATTTATCAACAAGAATTAATCATTTAACAATCAGATATTATGTTAATGTTTCAAAAAAAAAAGTAACTTAACATAATGATAACACTTTATGGTTTTAAAACACAAATGTACCATCTAAAAAGAGTTTAAAAATAAGGTAAAAACGAACGCACACAATGAAGATCACTGCTTTAAAATTTTTATTTCTATTCAGATAGGTCGGTATTACGGTTTCGGAAGAATTTAATTACATAATTATATAACGGTTTTCTTTTATCACTTTTATAAATGCTATGTTTACACGGCTCGGGTCGACCTTTGCTGGTTGGTTAATCAGAGGATTTTCATATTTACCATTAAAAATAAAAAACTCAACAATGTTTTGTAACGCTACAGCCGATAAATGTTTTTTTTTATTAACATACAAGAAATGGAACTGACTTTTTTTGGCATATTAAACTAATTAGAACACACTTGCACATCTTTGAGCAGCTTAATCAAAATTATGAAAATAGCGTAAAAAATTGATATTTACACTGTTCGTATAAGAGATATATCAACAGAATTATTTTTAAATTTTTCAAAATATGCGGTATTTGGTTTTTAAACTAGTATCAACGAGGTATATGAGAAAACATAATAAAAACTATCATTAGTACTAGAAGAACTAATCAAGTGATTTGTTTATTTTTATTAGCTCTTGTTTGCGAATAACGTGTTTTACTCTATTTTATGTAACAATATGGCACAACTTATTACATAACTAGTTTGATTTCGACAATGAAGACTAAGTTTAATACTTCGGTTAGTAACTAAAAGAACAGCATTACGCTAAAATATCTTCCGAAAATTTGTCTCTAACTCAGACTAAAAAACCTCAAGTCAATGTCAGCATTGACGACATAATATAGGACGTTATAGAGCGGCAAAGTACAAAAATATTGTTATTATTTTGGTTTACCAGAATCGGAGCAAAATGTGCCAACAAACATTAGCGAAGTTACAAACAGAGTAATAGTGACGGACTTATTTATTACGTTCTTTAAAACCCGATGTTGATACAAATATTTTAAAATTATGTAGAGTGGGGCGCTTTGATCCTAATAACACGCGTGAAAAACCTGTAAAAATTATCTTTGAATCCGATGCTTCAATTTTTTTACGCCACTCAAACGACCTACTGCATACGGATCGCTTTAAGAATTGCAGATTTTTTTTCTGATAAAACACCCAAACACATGAAATTTTACAAACAGTTAAAAAAACAACAAAATGACAATTTTTAATGGTGAAACGGACCTAAGCATAAGATAATGATGTCCCCAGAATAGTAAATAACAAAGTTTCTTCACGTGAGCCTTTAAACTAGATTCCTCGTCCAATTATGGTACCTTAATACACAATTTTCACCAAAATGTACGCGGTCTAAATTAAAACTTTTTGAATTCTTCAACTTGGTTTCGTCAACTACCTATAATCTGATAACGGAAGCATGGTATTTTAATGAAGTGTCCAACAATTAATTATTAACGTTTTCCCTCCAATTACATCGCATTTCGTAAAGATAGAAACTTTGAAGATACCAATCTTTCAAGAGGTAAAGGAGTTCCTATTGCCATCAGGAACGAGTTTAAGGCAACTAGCGTCGATATTTCACATGTTTCTGATGCCGTACCGATGGTGGACTTGCTTGGTGTAAACATTAATTTGAACTTTGAAAGCATATATTGTGGAATATATATCACCTTCTAGTAAGTAGGTACGATAATTATAAAATACTCTTTGAACTTATTAACGCCCTAGAAAAATCACACAGCAACAAAGTTATCTTTTTAGAAATTTTCAATGCAACATTCTTTCTACACAACCAATACGATAAACGCACTTTTGGTATTGAACAATTTTAAGGAGCTTTATTATTTTACCCACTACCCACAATAATACCCTCAACTCTGATGATCGCATGTTAGATCTAATTTCTACAAGTTTTGTTTGTACACCTAGCAGGTACATTAATCCACTTGTTGCAAAAGATACGTTCTACCGAGCCTTAAATTTTGATTTTGAAATTAAAAAAGTACATCGTACTCCGTTTCCTTTGAACACTACTAACAAAGAAGTTTTTAACTTCAAAAATGCCAAGTTTCCATTGTTATATCAAAACTTTTTAACCACAAACTGGTTGTTTCTTGACAACATTAGTGATGTCAATCAAATTTGTTCAGTATTTTACAGCACCCTTAGAGATGTGTTACCGGGATTGTTCCTAAGGTCTGTCAAATATCAAAAAGCCTATTATTACCTGCCCTGGTTTGATAAAAAAAATAATTCGATGTATTCCTATAAAATTTTCTATGTTCAAAAAACAGAGGAAATATAAAACTGACTTCTTTATCAATAATTATCCTTATAGAAAATTCATTCACGAAGGTCAAGTACTAACAAACCCGAATTCTATCGTCAAAGCTTTTGCGTTATTCTTCAAAAGTGTATTTGGTACATCACATCCGAACAACATAACTAATTTTAAAACAACTAACACACCGTTTGTGTCTGTCGAACATTTTCTGAAGACAAAATCTTTGCAGCACTAATAAAACGTTTCAAAAATTCCTTTACTTAAAGTTAATATTTCCTATAATTGGGCGTAGCCTGTTAGGAATAAATGGATTATTATTATTATTTCGAAATATGTAAAACTTACTTAGTAAAGCGTAATGCATAAAACATAAATCTAAAAAACCAAACATTTTTAAAGAAGTATCCCATGTAAACGTGATGCAGAAAAAGAGAACAAAAAAAGTAACAGTTTTTTGTTGAATGAGTCGCTTATAAAAAGACCTTCAGAATGACATTTCTTTTCTAACAGTATTTTTCATCCTCATTTCTGAAGCTAAATAGGCGACGTGTCTGTATTTTCGAAAAGTCGAGTCGTTTTTGTATTTCGAATGGTTCACAGAAAATTCATTTGAAGATGTCCGAGTATTGAAAATATTTATTTATGACACACTATAGTAATTTTAATCAACTTAATCATGGTCAAATGCAAGCCGAGAGTAACAGGTTCCACATTTAAGTATCCACTTTTAAAAATATGTTTTATTATTGTAAGTAATTCAACACTGACATTTATATAAAAATCGTTCAAATTGTATAACATTCTGTAAGAAATTCAGTTTATTTAAGAAGAATTTTCAGAAAGAGAATTTGTAAAACGCTGTCGATTAAAAATAATATCCGTTCGCAAAACTCCCGCACTGTCAGAATGACATTCTGTTGGTATGAGAATTAATCCCCTAAAAGATTTTTAAGTTTATATGATTACCGCCTTGAATTTCAAATTTTCAAAATTAATGAATGAAAAATCAAATGTTTATTAACTATTTTAACTTTTTGATTTGCTGAAGTGTTCATTGTATTTAAAGAACTTGTCAGTAATTCAAACAAATTGTAGCACCAGAAGCGTAGAAATGGACAGTAAGGTCAAAAATATATATTATTCAAAAAAAGCTTTCGTTGTCGTTCGTGTGTCATACTCTTTCTTTACTTGAATTGATAAAAATCTTCAGTTAATGTGCTTTTGACATTTTTATTTGACAAGTTATTTTTAGTTACTAATTTGTCACTAGATTGCAATTTTGCAACATATTGTACAGGTTTTTCACATCTCACCACTGAGTACACTCAGGTCATTTTTTCCAAATCTGACACTGACAGTGCGGGAGTTTTGCGAACGGATATTATATACATTTCCATACGTCTAAAACTCAATAATTAGTACTGAAATGTAACTTGTCATAGCCTTACGATTTTTTGCCAAAGCAAGTTATTACACCGACACTATTGTGTATTGTAACTTTTTATTATTATTTTTTACTAATATTGATTAATTTGGAGATTTATACGGTGTTAGTCAGGTTTCCGTGAGTAGAATTGTATTAAAAGTAGCTCGAGCTTTGGCTTCTCGATTACCTCAGTTTGTTAACTGGCCAAAAAACGTTTTTGGGCTCAAGCAAAATTTTTATAATATAGGGCATTTCCCGGTGTGGTATATATTTGACCGCCGTTCTCCAATGAATATTCATTAATTTATTAATTAGTTAATAGAAGCGTAAAAAATGGTTTAGGTCATTTTGACGTTGTTATACTACATCATACCATTCCTGTAAACCCACTGCAGTTGCACTGAGTTAAGTTAATTTTTGTAAACATGATGGACCAATTTTCCCAAAATGGCACATCCAATACAAAATGAAACCTTTATTATAGCCACTATACCCAAGATCATGGTTTTCTAAATAAATAGTAACTAATTTTTCGCTTGTTCTGTTTTATAGTATAAGTATTCTCTAAAGCGCTATTTTAGCACTAGTTCTTGAGAATTAAATTCAATCTAAAAATCCCACTAATAACAACAATGCTAAAATCACACAATCTACGACAATAAAATTTTAAAATATCAATTTCGATACCTAGCCCTTAATTTTTCTTCTTCACCTTTACCTAATAAATAGGGAAATAATACGACTTAAAAATCCATCTTTGATAGATAACACAAATCAGTTTCACAATTTTACTCTTAATAACAAGTAGTAACTTTATACAACAAAAGAGAAAATTTCTCTAAGATGGTACTATTTTTTGTACAACGTAATTTCCCTGTGACAGTCCAGCCAATATTTCATTTTCTTTCTTCCAAAAAGTAATTAACTACCTTAGGAAAATTTGATAAAACTAAATTTTGTAAATAAAGCTGATAATAAAGTAAAAGCAATTTCGAATGGGTGATTAATATCATTTTTTTAATTGTGTTCTTTCCACATTTAAAAACCAAATAGAGATAAATAGAAACTAAGAATATTTTAATTTGCAACAAAAAAAAAATTGATTGTTAAAATTCAAAGATAATACACACATATTTACACACATAAAATTAAAGTACAATTTTGACCTACCGGACCCCATCCTATATGAAGTGTCAATTTAAAAAAGAAATCAATTTTTACCGGTACATTGAATGCTTGCTAGTTTTTTTTTATTGTTCAGCTATTAAAATTCGTTCCATTTACTTCTACACACGCAACAACTATTGTATGCTTATTAGTTGTTTCAATGTCATGAAAAAAGGAAAAATTTTATTTAGATTGTCATCAAAACAAAAAAATCTGAACGCCTAAATTAAAATAAGTTCAAAGTTTCGAGAATACTTTCACACATGTTACTTACACACAATAAAAAATTTTGGCAAGATGCATAAAAAATAAATTTAACTTGTACATATCTTTACTTTTATTAGTGACATTAATAAACGATGGCAAACGAAATTTACCGGAATGAAACTTTTCATTATTTAATGCTATTTTTGAACAAATAAATTTGGATTAACATTTTATCACCTTCACAACAACTTTAAAGCATACTTGATATGATGAAATGCGACAGACGGACAAAATCTACGTTTCCATACAATATGAGGTGTAAAATGTAAGCAATTAAACTAGAATTTTGTCAAAATGCCGCTATTACATTACTTCGTTCAGTAGGTACAAATATACCTGAAAAATTTTTGGTAAATCAAAATTACCTGTCATCATTTTTATTATTTTCAATGTCTTTCCAATAAATTTCATGTTGTATCTTTTAAAGCTTGATTTTTTAGAGGAAAACATACTTCATTTAAATTAAAAAAAAAAAAAACTAGAAAAATGTGTAAATTTCCAAAATAATAACCGTTGTATTTTTACGACTTTTAAATCAATAACCCTTGGATTTATTATTGGTAATCACAATATGGCGCACTTAACAGAAAACACCACTAATATCCTGCTCTGCTAAATTTTGGAGAGACATTATTTTTTTAATCTGGAAGATTTTAATCTTGAAATATTTTTTCGCTATTTACGAAAAAATTAGTATCTACAATACTTATCAGTTATCACAAACCGACATGCCATAATCTATTTTCCATATCATCGAAATAATTTATAATTATAGAAGACAAAAATTATTACAATTTTTTAAACAACATATCCACTAAAAGAAAAAGATAATTTTATTTTTTTATCTCAATGACGTCACACTACATGTTGCTTCTAAATATTTACTTCAAATTATCTACATTGATACCAAAACGAAGATTGAAGATTATTGTTGAAAGTTAAAATATTTAAAGCTATCGGAACTGACAGTTTTGTTTGGAAAATAATTTAAGTGTATCACAGAATCGTACAACTTTAGTTTTTAACTTTTTTTCTATTTTTAATCAATGTGACATCGAGGAGGGCGCCCTTGGTGACTCACCCCATATATCTACTGAAAATACATTGGACCGTCAATACCAGATTTTAGAAATAATTTAGACACCCACACAGAACTAAGAAACTTTAGATTTAGATCATGCAATCTTTATCTTTGGTATAAATTGTGACATACATTCATCGCTACTTTTTCTAAGCTAGAACATATCAGCAATCATTCCCAAAAACGGTTTTGTAAACAGTTATGTCGGCCGAATTCGCTAAATTTTAATTTTAAAAAGACATCTTACCTTATAAATTCTTCCTTTGGTAACGAACAGCTCTATCAGCGTCGGCGTATGTTCTATAGCGGCATCTATATAATTCACAGCCTTTTCCGTCTGGTTCAAGTAGTCGTGATGCTGCGCCAAATAATAGTAAACCCACAGCAAAGCGGACGCCGGTTCTTTCGGTCCATTATTGACTTCAGCTTCACTATATTTGCCCACTTTCTTTAAAGCATCCGCGTATTGTAACATCAAATTTTCGATAGTTTCCACTTTACTCTTATCCGTATATAACGAGCGTAAATCGACAAAAAGCGGAGGTACGCCTTTCGACAGCGCCTTCCTCATATATTTATCGACGAGAACTTTAAATTGTTCACCGACCGCGTAATTTAACGGCAGTCTTCGAGGCGGCATAGCTCGCGCGAATTTTTCCGAACACTCTAGGTAAAAATTAACAATGTCCTCGGGTTTAGCTAGATTTTTAGCATCGATTAATTTATTATAATAGATCGTATTTTCCGGATTTCTTTGGATCAATTCTTCGTAATGTTTAGCGGCTTTATCGAAATTTTTCAACTTTAGATTTAGTTCACCTAAATTTTCTTTAAGGGTTAGTTTGTCAACGATTTGATCTTGCGACGATTCCAAATGTTTCAAGGCCTCTTTTAAGTCGCCGGACTCTTGAATCACCAGGTTTTGATAAAGTAACAGTTCGCTGTGCTCGTAGTCGTAGTTGTTCCCTTTCTGCAAACACGAAGACATTTTATCTATGGATGATTTACCAAATGTCAGGAAATGGTACCTGCTGTTGGTCCAAGAATGTTTCCAATATATTCAATGCGTTCTTGTAATCTTCTAACAGATGAAATGACATAGCATAACCTATCCAGGAAGCCCTTTGCGTCGGTCTAAGCATAAGGAGTTGGTAACGTGTGTCCTAAACAAACACCATATAAGTCAGAAAGTACTAAAAATCTCAAATCTCAACAAGTATACTGGGATGCTTTACAGATGATTTCTTGAGTATTTTGTTTCTTTTGTGCAGGTTTATGCAAGGTCTGCTCGCAATTTTAAACCTAAAATTTTAAAAAATAATATTGTGACGCAAAAAATCAATCTGTCTGAGCTCAATTTAAACGCTACCTAGAATTATTAAATACTGTACTGTGTCATACCTACAATATGCTTGTCTCATGTACGTCTCTTAAAACTCATGTTAAGAGTCCACGCAAAACTGAGACTCAGTTATAAAGAAAGGTAGCTTCCGTAATTAATAACTCATAATAATAACCACTAATTTTTAGTTCACGACTGGTCCCTATAGAAATGTTAAACGCAAATAACATTAACTCTATAATTACAGAATTATAAACTTTCAATCCTGCCATTTTAGGATTTTCAAAAATTAGACTTCTTCTGAGGAATGTTACAACAATTTGAGGAAATTGACACGATTTCCGATGCATTTAAAATCGATAGTTAATATCTGACCAACCATAATTAAGTTTCTTGCTTATCGAAATACGTACAAAAATATATTGTTTCAAAACATGTTTAGCAACTTTTTTTTAGAAAAAAAGTCATTTATATAGCAAGAGTTTATAAAATATGTTTGTTGATGTTTATAAACGCGAAAGCATTAATAAACATTCTTATCACAATTCATTAAATGACTAATTAAATCAATTAATTAATTCGCTGGTAAAAAGAAAACTTTTTGACTGACAAATATTACAAAATCGGTGCAATACAATAATATAATATTTAAATCGGTATCTCCATTATCATAAAAGAGTGAAGACATATTCCAGTTTGAAGAATAACAAAAAAACACTTTAAATTAATTCTTTCCTTTATTCTTTAATCATTCCCTTTTTAAATAGCAGCTTATATGTACTTTCACGTATAATAGCAGTACGACAAAGACGATTGGAATTATTTTTTAACGCAGAAAATTTCAATGTTCAAATAACGCCCCCGTTTCTAAAAAACATAAGATTTACGTAATTAACGAAATAACACCTTTTAGACACTTTTACGTATTTAATATTATTAACTTCGATCAATATTGTCTTAAGATTTCACAAAAATTTATAGGGAATCATAATCACAAAAAATCTTTTATACTAGAAATTAATATGCTTGTAATTATTGACAATTAATTAGTTTTAATTACTATTTAAAACAAAAAAACAAAAATGTAACCGCTCAAGCCATATTGACAAAAAAGGCAAAGACATCATAGAAAAAAGTTTGATAACGCAGAGACGTCATTAGTTACTGAAACTATTAAACTGCCCTATTTATAAACAATTATTTGTAATATGCTTTCTAAACATTTCAAATTATATTTAAAGTGAGAGATAAGAGTTTAACTGATTTTGTCTGAAAAACAATTCATACAAAATTATCTAAGATAACGATTTTTTTAAGTCAATCCTTCAACAGACATTCCATGACAACAGTGAAGTATAATTTAGTGGACCAATTTTTTAATATTTAGGTTACAACGGTTGTTTTAAAATTTATTTCTTAACGCATTTCACACATGAATTTAGTAGAATAAATTTAAATTTGTATTTACTTTTAATTTTTTTTTTTTTACTTTTTATAAGAACTAATAAATAATGCATGTTGAATAAAGATGTAAATTAGTAAATGTAGAATTAATCAATGAAATAACCACCATATGTCAACTTTAAACGTTGTTAAAGGAGCATAATTTTATACTGTCATATGCAGTGTGATGCACCCTTACAGCATGTTATACATGGGGAAGGGAGCATAATTCTCCTCTCCTTGGTTAACATTCATCTACAACCTATGATTGTCTGTTATACTTTTGTTTGTATCAGTATATGTTGTACATAAAAATTTTTAGTAAATAAATCATTTAACTGAAACTTACATGTCAACAACATTGGATATGTTAAAAATATATTACTCCACATAGCACAAATAAAATTGTGAGCAGCATGCTCAAGAGCGTCACTGCTGTAAGAGTAGAAGTTACAGTTTATATATTTTGGAATACATAATTAAATTTTGCTTTAATCATCACATATGATATTTTCACGAATAGGATATACATACTGCCTGTTAAATAATATCAAGAACACCTTTATCATGGTCCAGATGTTTCTACTCCCAGTTCAAAATGATTTAATATGAAGTTGGTGCAATTTGTATTTTCCAAAAGATTTAAATAACTGAAATCTATTATTTGTTACAGAAAAATAAAATTAGTATATAGTTACTTGATTTTCTACTGTAATGTTTTACATAATTTCTGTACAAGTAAGCAATTCCTATTCTTCTCCTGTAAGTGTATGTAACTCATCAAAGACTAAACAAAAGTGAAGTAAAATATACCAAATATATTACAACCCCACATGTGGTACTAAAAATTTAAAGTATTCTTAATAGTCTCCTAAAATTTACACAGTACAGCTTAGTTTTTAAAATTTATTGCTTGGTTTAAAACTTTAATAGTTCAGTTAAGAGAAATAAATAATAAATTTTCAGAAGCCAAAGAATAATTTCACACTAAAAAATGTTAGTTCTTTTTGTTTTGTAATCTGCACTACACGAATCTGCTTCTAGCTTAAGTTGTGTTACTCTTAATGCACTAATTTAATCCCAGTCAAGATAATTTACATGTTAAATATAACACAAGTGTAGCCAGTTCTCAAGGTTACAACAACAAAGCGCCATCACCACCATCATACTCACTCTGTATCCTTCCAAATCTCGCATTTGAATTTGTAACAGAGATAAATCCCTAAGGATCTGCATATTATCCTTCTCCCATTTGAGCGCATTTCGATAGCACTTGATGGCTTCATCATATTTTTTATCCGATCTTTGTAATAGTCCATAAACATGCCAACAAACGTGTGAACGCAAATCGTTTCGTAAACCCCTACGCACATATTCATACGCTTCTTCTTTACGCCCTAGACAGTTTAACGTCAATCCTTTCATGGCCAAAGTCTCTGTAAAACAAAAGTTAACGGATCCAAGCGCGGCACTTTGTTTAAACTAACCTCCATGTTCTGTATATTTGGGATTTGACAAGATCTGCTTTGCAAATTTTAAGCCATTCTTGTATTGCTTCTGTTCGTAACATCTCTGCAATGAGAGCATAATTAACAACGGAGAATAAACTGCGAAGGATAATTGACTCGATTATGTGTGGAATAATAAAGAGTATAAATAGAATAAAAAATGTCAAATGGAAAGCCTACAGCGAGTTGCAATATGCATTTTTAAGGTTATATCACCTCAAAATTTGCTTTTAACGTCTTCTCACGGATTTTACACAACACAATAACCAAAATGAGTCAGTAAAATTTCGTTATGCATTATTTTTGTTGATATCTGCCCGCTTTGTTAGGCTATGTAATACTAACCAAAATTCTTTTAAATAAGGCATTTTCTTTCGGTGGTAGCGGATTGCTTGAGGGCATTTTTATTTGCACTAAAACGTCAACTTTTACAACCCGGTTAAATGAAATTTGTTAGAAATCAAAACCTCGTGGCCAGAAACCTCCTCAAATGTCGATCGTGGTCACGTGACTAATGTCGGCCCTTGCCATGTCGGTAACACAGAAATCTGTCACACCAAGAATGCTCATTTTCAAACAAAATAAATTTTATTGATACAATAAATACATTTGCAACAAGAATATAGTCTCATCTATTTCCAATTCTACACTGTTCAGTTTTTTCATTGTGAGATCAATTTTCTGAAGAATTTCTTTTTCTGGGGGAGTAATCATTTCTTCAATCTGAAAAAAAAAAGAAATAAAACTCTCATAATCATCAAATTTTGACTTACATCAGCCAGCTGTTCGTCTCCCGCTCCTTGAACCCTCATTCCCATTATAATAGTTTCAACCCTTTGTTTTTTATCAATGATTCTCTTGTGCACTAGTCTTTCATGATTCTTTCTAGTCATAATATTATATAAAGTCTTGTAACACAGTTCAAGGATCATTCGAATGACTTGATTTATATCTATGTGAAATAGGGTAAAACTTTTGTTAGGGCCTGTACTGGAAGACTTTTTAAGTTCTTGCACCTGCAAGAAGTTTTCTTCTAAAAGTTGGTATGACAGACGTTTGGCTTCTTTGGCGGGAATCATTGCCAGCTGCTGTATTTGATCTGATTCTATATATTGCTTAGATTTAACCAATCTAAATATCCTAGCTGCTTTTGAATCAAACTTTTCCAATACTATTTGTTCAACAGTTTCCCAAGCAAATTGTACAAAAGCTTCTTTTAAAAAAATCTGAAGTGAACCGCCACCAGCTTCCCCACCTTGCCTAATCAGCTGTGAATTATCCTGTTCTACAAATAAACAAATTAAATAAATAAGACATTCTACAAGATAATAATACCCAAAACGCTGACATATTGATCAAAAAATGCCAGCAAATGTTGATGAGTTGCTTGCTTCCTAACATTGTCTCTTATTTCGATAACTGGGACAGGATTTGAAACTTCAGCCCACGGTGTCGTCCTAATGTACATCTGCTGTAACAAGAGCCTAACAAATTCCCCAGCATTTTCGTCAAACTTTTTAGTGAAAGCGTTAACAATCAATTTGTCTCTCATATCTTGATGAAACCTATCAAAATTAACAGTCCAGTACACTCCCCTATCAGGTAAAGAATCAACTGGTGCTTTACCACTCTGCACCAACGTCATTTGTTTTAACTCAAACTGTGGAATTACAAACTGATCAGTTTCTGGAAGAATCAAGTTAGGTACAGGTTTGTCTTCCTCACTATATGGAAGTCTTATTAAATACTGAGCGTTCACCAAAGAAATAAATTTTTCTCTTAATGATAAAATAGTAACAGCTTTGTTATGGTCCTTTTTAAACCTTTCAATTACTTTTAAAATGAGTTCGGATGCTGTCCAATAACTCCGTTGCAACAACTCCTCTACAATCATTTCACACTCATTTCCAAATTTTTTCTTTATGAGATTTATGTAATTTGCATAACGTAGTGTCAAAAGGACTTGGTCATGTTGTAACGTATAGTTGGCAACATTAGCATTACGATTCGGTGTAAAGGTCACTAATCTGTACTTGATTAAAATGCATAACGCCTCTTTTACCTAAAAAAAAAAAAACATACAACATCGTTAAATATAAGAGACATATTTGTGCTTACTACCTTAGATAGTGGTAAATTGGTGTTTTTCTTAATGTATAAAAGAGGAACAGTTCCGTACTGAAATAAATATGTACCCACTTTTTCAACAACGGGGCCAAATCTTTCTTGTAAAATAAGAGAAATGACTTTACCATACTGTACAGACATTTTATGGCAATTTATTAAAAATAAATGCAATGTGCTTCTGACAGCAGCAAATGTTAGGTTAGGGATAGGAAGGGAAAGTAGTGTATCGTGTTTATCAATAACAATTTATGTACTTAGAGGAGCCAAATTACAACAGTAGAGTAATGCTGCGTGCATAAGATTCTTAAAAAATTTATTACTCCTATTTTTCATTACATACTCTCCTACCTAATGTTACTTTCATATCCACTTAACCCTTGTAATTGAGACTGAGGTCTGAGGTCCACGAGAAAAAAATGAAAAAAATATTTATAAAGTGGCGAAGTATAAAACAAAAACTTCTTAAAAAAGGCAGTATAATCCGATCCGTTCCAATTTAAGCCGAACAGGTTTAAGTTTCTACATGCAAGATAGTTATTTTTTTGCGGTGAAATACATATGAATGTTTGGCTAAAATTTTAAAAGTACTCGGGCATGGAATTTGACATGCCACTAGTACAGTGGCAGGAATTTGAGTAAAAATCACCTAAAAATCTTACACATACATGTATTTTGGGTTGCGTCTCGAATTCTAGCTCTTTATCAAAGTTATGAAATTACTTCACTGACCAAATGCACATCAATATTTTTCCAAAATGGGCAGAAATGTGATAAAATAAAAAAAAACAATATGACTTGACTATGAAATAAATAATATGTTTATTATTTAACTATACAATGTAATTTCAGTCATGAATTCAAAAAACATATAACGGGTGTTCAAATAAAAAATCACTCAGAGTAGGCGTTGGAATTTCGCTTGACACAACACCTACTCTGAGCGACTTTTGAATTGAACACCCGTTATTATTACAATTTTTCATTATTATCAAATATCATCAACTAAAATTATTTTCAGTATATAGAGTGTTGTATTTTTAAGCAACATACAACTTTTTTTATTGAAGTATCTTTTGAAATTCTGATGCGACTTTGTACCAAAGTAAGTAATTCTAATTTCCTTGGAATTTTAAGAATGCAAATGTTCACAAAAAAATACATTAGGCATATTTTTAACATCTGTTTGGAAACATTTTATAAATATATAAATCAAGGTATGGACTTTGTTGTCAGTTAAATTGAGTCTCTATAAAAAATATAATTTTAAGAATCATATCTCAGTTTTCTAAAAAGAGCAGTGCACCTATATTTTATTGCTGCACCTATTTTTCATCTTCTTTCTTTTTTTAATGTTTTCTCTTTCTAAAATTAATAGTTACTGCGATTTTCACTGTTTTAATAGGCACATCAAAGTACTGAAAGAAAAAAATATGCATAAAATGTTAAAGGTTGGTACAGCGTTTACGACTTTGATTTCATAAGCATTTTACAACGGATCCCACATAAAATTCAATAAATAAGTACATATAAGCAATGGGACGTTACACAAGCAGGCAGTTAGGATGACCGCCTGCTGTATTAAAATAACCTTTATTTGTTACTTTTACAATAGAAGAAGGTTTTCCCAGATAAATGGATTTACATACTATAGTTTACTCCGGTGAAATCGTCAAAATGGGTATACTATCCTCAAAGATATTTGGCGTTTATGACTTCACACCAATTTGACTCCCATTATAATTCAATAGGCCGTCACAACCGGATGTCTTAAACCCGCTCACCGATACCTACCTGAAAAGACCTTTTCTGGTAAAAGCACAGGGCAGGACTGAGTTTTGCATTTACCGACAACTGCGCCTTTCGAGTTTTTTATTTTAAGTAAAAACAAAGTAACTTTGTACTCAATCATTTTTTATTACAGCACAACTATTTACTTATTAACTACTACTGCTTATTTATTGATCGAAATAGTCACTGTCATCATCACTCGACTCTTCTAAATTAATAATTAACGGTGTTATCAACCGTGCCCTGTACTGGTCTTCTTCTTTTGTGGAATGTGGTACACAATTGGCCCACATTTCGGCAGTTATTTTGGAAGCTTCTTCCCTAATTATGTCAATTGTTGCACTACTAAATTTTGGTGCCGTATTATTCCTTCTTATAATGGAAGTCAAATTGGTGTGAAGTCATAAACGCCAAATATCTTTGAGGATAGTATAGGGTCAAGTGGTCACCCAAGTACAGCAAAAGGGTCGAGTTGTATTCTAGTACCCTCAGGTAGCCATAAAGAGATTAAGAGCTTAACGCTAGCATTGCCATAAATACTAATTTGTTATCATTATGGAGTAGGACAAATATCAAACAACAGTTGTAAATCTGCGTAGAAGCACAAAATCGGTCGGGCCTAGTCCGCTTTCAAATTTAAGGGGTGGGCGCACCCTCAGACGCGCCCGTCATCGTTTCTCTGTCATAGCGAGCTTTTTTTTTTTATACCTGTACCAGTTTACAGTTTAGATTAGTACCTAATGGATTCATTCGCATTCGTGCTAGCGTGTTGATCAGTTCATTACGTTTATGTTTCTTTGTGTTATTGTTTGCGATTAAAAAAAATAATTTTAAAAAAGCACCCCTTTCTGAATTGGGCATATTACGCTACTGACTGACAGTCCGTTGTCAGATTCTGATGACTCACCATGTTGAACTTAAAATAATCTATCTCTACATGAAAATTGATCTAAATATTGTTGCCGGAGAGCGTGACCGAGGCCTGATTTCACAATTAATTAAGTTACTTTAGGACCTTATTTAAGTTTTAGGATAATTAATAAAGTAGTTTAGCGTAGAATAGGTTCGCGTGCTGCGGCGGCTGTTTCCAGTCTGGCCGCCCCGCCGACGGTGGTTATATTTAATACCTCGGTCGGGGCCCCGCCTACTGGTGCAGAATTGCGCGCGTGTGCCGTCAGCTCGCGAAAAAAATAGGTTAATTAGGGTAAGGTAATTAGTAGATAATATATTTAGTGCCAAGAATTAGTTTAGTGTTAATAGGCGATAAGCAAATAACAATTATGCTCCGTTTTCTGTGACAGCTGGCGACAGCCAATCCGCTGCCCAGACGGTGTCCAGAAAACGGTAAAAAAGTATAAAAGGCTGCTAGAAATCCCGCTCAGCATCACTTGTCAGCTAGCGGTGAGAGTGTACGCTTCGGAGTCACAATAAACCGCTCTGCATTCTCTAACCGAGGGTTTTATTACCCCAAATAAATCCCTACACAAGCACACAAATAAAGCACGCAACCAGTTCTTCTCAGAACTTTCGAATCGGAGCATACCCGGCTTCCTGGTTCGGGCCGGTGTCTCGACAGGTGAGGACAGGTCGTCCCCGTCAACCCGCGACGTCGCGACGCCCCATCCCCTAACACATTGGCGCCCAACGTGGGGCCAGTTTGACAAAGCTGTCAAAAGGGCCTTTTTTATTAAAAAAAAAATAAATTGATGAAGACCAGGCTTCAAGATAAAATGAAAAAGTTGGGGCCTGCCACACAGTCTCCGGCCGTCGAGTCTGACGACACCATCCCGCCGACCTCCCCCGAGGTCCTCGTGACAGCTCCGGCCGGCATGGCGGCATCCCCCAGCTCTTCGCCGGCAACGGCATTCCCCAGCGACCTAGTGCAGCCGCCGCAGGCGGGGACATCCCCGTTTACAACGGGAAGCCCCTGGTCCTTTCCACCTACTGGTCGGTTTGATCCACCTACCGTGGTCCACGGTTCGTTGGGGGTCGGAATTGCGGCAGAATTGCCGTCGGCGGCCCCGCAGCCTGCCGCCGACGCCATTGTCGACTTCGGCGCGAAGTTAGACAAACTGGTCGACACAATGATGGTTTGTTTCGCCCAGCAGAACGCAGCCGCAGCCGCCGCTACCGCCTCTGCCACTGCTTCGGCGGCCGCTGCCTCCACCGCCATCCGCTCCGTCCCGGTTCCCACACTTCGAACGGAGGAGTACCTCCGTACGTTCGGAGGCGAGCCCGAGGAAGAGCCAGAGGACTTCATCGCGGAGGTGGAGGCGTACTTCACCGAGGTTGGCGCCCTAAATCACCGCCACCAGGTGTTGGTGGCCCATCGCCAGTTGCGAGGAGTCGCGGCTCGGCAAAACAAATACTACACCGCCAGCGACGCCCGAGTAGCAGACCTCTGGCGCCGCCTCCGAGCCAGCTTCGGCACAGAGGCAAAATTCGCAGAGCTCCTCGCCAAATTCACCGCGAGCTCCTACAACAGGCGCGATCCCCTGGAAGTCTACATAGACAAACAACAGCGGCTGTACCGGCGCCTCTTTCCCAATAGCTCGGATGAACGGGTGGTTGACGAACTCATAAAGCAAATGCCGGCCTCGATCCGGGCCACTCTCGCTGTAGGCAAATACGGCAGCCTCGACGAGTTCGGCCGAACTGCACAACGAGTGCTGAGTCTGTCCGCCGACGGAGAGAGGAAAAAATCGACGGAAAACTGGCGTCGGGCTGTGGAGACGTCTCCACCGCAGCCCGATGCTTCGGCCTAAACCATTCCGGAAGCCCCCTTCCCCAGGTCGCCGCTCTGTTGAATGGCGCGCCGATGAAGGTCGCTCTTGACACAAGGGCGTCAGCGAACTTCATCAGCGGACGCGTTGCCACTCCACGAGGAGGCCGACCTGTCGTGGTGCAGCTGGCCAGCCAGGGGATGACCACCACGTCCGAGGGGACCGTCCTCTGCAACGTCGTCATCGACTGTCAGGAGTACAACGAAGAATTCCTGGTGGTTGAGGACCTCGCCGACGACGTCATCCTCGGCGACCCATGGTTGCGACGAGCGCGGGCCACGCTCGACTACGGGCTCCGCTGCGTGCACCACGGATCCGACCGGCGAGCCACCACCTTCTGGGCCGACCAACGGCCCCCGCCACCTGGGGCACCCCTTCCCCACGTCCAGCACAGCTTCCCCGACCAACTTGCGAGTGCGTTCGAAGACGCGCTCCGAACTTTTCGTGCCGTGACGGACCCCAGTAACTGCGACGGTGTTCTCCGCAATCGACCTCAAGTCCGGGTACTGGCAAATCCCGATGGACGAGGGATCGAAACACCTGACCACCTTCGCGACGCCCGACGGCGCCACCTACCAGTACCGGGTGATGCCGTTCGGCCTGCAGAATGCGCCCGCTACCTTTCAGAAACTAATGACAAGAGTGCTCGCGGGGTACTTGGGAAAGTTCACTCACGTGTACCTAGACGACATCATCGTCTATTCCCGTGACTACATCGAGCACCTGGGGCACCTCCGCCGAGTGTTCGAGCGCCTCCAAGAGTACGGCCTTCGGTGTGCGGTGGAGAAGTACCGATTCGGCGTCGCCGAACTGCCGTACCTCGGGCATGTCGTGGGGCGCGAACACAACCGCCCCCAAGAAC